GACCTAAAAATGGCTCGTTTCAGTTCCGCTACACAACTACATTCGATAAAGTGCTCCTCATAATCGGCTCAGTTGTAGCTGTAGGTACTGGTATTGGATTACCAATGATGTCTATTATTATGGTAGGTTGTGAACTTATTGCTATTCAAAACATTTGCTTCGATATTCTAGGAGGTTAGGAGTTTCTAGAGAACCCGGTGAACATTTTCGCGCGTGCGAGTTGAGAATAGCCAAGTTGATGGGCCATTTCCGTTGTTACAGTCCATATCGGAGGGTAGAAGGGGCAGTCCCTGAGTCTTCCTGTGCCGACTCCCTCTTTTGTAGACACTTCTCCGCCACTTTTTCTAAACCTGATCTCTTGCAGGAGTCGCCACATCGCAGCCACGCCCCTTCTTGCCTCCGATATAGGCTTTACCCATTGCATTTTGATATTTTGATATTAGCTGTAGCAGAAAGCAACTTTGAAGGCGATAAAACAACGACATCGAAAAAATGGCCCCTATTTGTGCCGCGCTCTGCCATTTTGAGAGATGTTGACTGCATGGCGTATTCGCAAGGACTTGGTGAATTTTCCCTGATGCCACCCAGTAATTTACTAAATGTCATATTTTCAGGGTAATGTTTCACAGAACTTCATGGATATCAATGGAAACACAACCTGTAAGTTATTAAGCCCTCCTGTTTATTTCTTTTCAGTGGTTGCTATTAACACGTCTTGCTGAAATATCTTGCAAGTTAATTCTGTTTGCGTCTTAATTTCTTTCTATTTGTTTATTCAGTTTTTACTCCATTTTTACCTTTAATTATTTCACTGTCTTGCTTACTTTTTCTATGGAGACGAGGCAGGGTACAGCATCGTGATGTGTGAATGGTGGTGTAGGTACGACTCCCCCTCCACAGCTACATGAGGGTCTCGGTACGACCCCCCCCCTTCCCCAACCACCTACCTACCAATTTTCAACACTCAATTATATGGCATACATTTCCCAGTTTTTTACCCAAAAAATTTGCCGTCGAGCGAAGGGGGAGGGGGGAGGGGTATGGTATAGTACACATGAAACAGGAAAAATCGCGCGAAAAGTCAACAACCGGAGAAAGTTTTTTTTCCCACGGCAAGTTTCTCTTAAAGCCACATTCGCCACATACGACTTACTCTCCCGTCAACGACCAAGTACGACCCCCCTCCTATGTATTTCACACAAGGATGCTGTATCCTGGGCGGAGGTGCTGTACATGATCGTGCGCCATTGCCTGACATCTCCGTAGTACCTTTGCCCACCGCCTTTTTGCGACAAAAATTCAAAAAAGAGGGACCAAACGTTTTTACTCTAA